TATATGGAAAGTCGGTGTTCCGTCTCAAAACTAAGGCTGACGGAACTATCGAGTGCTTCAAGGCAAGGTGGGTCGTACGGGGGTATGATCAGCGCCACGGCATTTACTTCGACTAGACCTTTGCCCCCGTGATTCATCACACCTCGGTGCGAATTCTACTCGCCATCGCCGCCGCAAAGCACCTACCACTACGGCAGATCGGCGTGAAGAACGGATTCTTGTACGCGCTGGTTGATGCGACCATCTTCGTGGAGCAACCACAAACCTACGAGGAAGGAGACCCAAGGGTCTGTCAGCTGGAAAAGTCCCTTTACGTGATCAAGCGCCACGACTTTGGCAGCAGCACCTGCATAAAATTCTCCTCGAGATCGGTTTCTAGCAGCTTCTACACGACCGGGGAATGTACCGGCTTCACTTCAATGACGACTACATCCTCTTGACAGTCTACGTCGACAACCTGCTGTATACCGAGACAAGCAAAGAGCTCTTGAACCAGTTCAAGCGCAACCTGGCACAGCGCGCTGACATCACTATCAACCACAAGGTCACACAATTCCTGGGGCTGAACATCACCTACGCGCCAGGGGCAATTCATCTGTCAGCCTCCAAGTACGCAGAGCAGCTGAGAGGACGTTTCAAAAGTATACCTGCACCACTTTCAACTCCTTACCGCACGCCCAACGCCAACTACAAACTGGACAACAAACCTCTGTCGCCCGCAGGGCTCCAACTCTACCAGCAGCAATTGGGGTGCCTACTGTTCGCCTCTGTCACCTGCCGACCCGACCTTTCGTACATCGCCAGCCAACTGGCACAACACTCACGCAAGCCAGTAGCATAGAACCAGCGGGACTTGGAGTGCACCCTACAGTACTTTGTCTCCACGCCTAACATCAGGCTCTTCAACTGCACATTGACAACATCCTTCAATCTCGCCGGCTACGTGGACGCATATCACGTTACTGACCCTGCCAATCGACAGTCACAAACCGACTTCGTCATTCGCTTGGAGCCAACTAGTCCAATCTCTTGCAACACGCAAAAGCAGGAGCTGGTTGCCCTATCATCGGCCGAAGTAGAATACATCGCTGCTACCGCTGCAATTCGCGAAGGGCTCTATATGCAAGAGCTGCTGCAGGAGGCAAAAATCCCAACTTCGTCCACCTTTTGCCTCCACTACGACAACCAGAGTGCCGTCAGAATCAAGAACAAGCCAGGGTTCGTCAACAGCACGAAGCACATTGCGCTGCGGTACTTTTTTGTCAAGGACGAAAAATGACCAGGGCAAGGTTGACCTCATGTACTGCCCCACTACTGAGATGGCAGCTGACTTCCTCACCAAGCGACTGCCACGTCAGCAGTACCAGCACTGCTCCAACCTCACCGGAGTGGTCAAACGAGTCAGCCTCCGACATGCCCAGGAATGAAGGGGCGTGTTGATTTATGAGTCAGCATTCTTGCACGCTACAGGGGCCGACTCTACCAAGTACGAAGCTGAAGGTTCAGAAGAGTTGAAGCGACACCGGTAATCGTCAGATCAAGACCAATGCAGGCAGAAACATTCAAAGTGAAAAAGGTGGGAACAGGATTGAAACGGGTTTTCGCGCCGCAATGTTTGAATACGCTGTAATAAGGGAATGTACCCCGTAGAGGATATGGCTAGCCTAGGTCGTTTCGTATTCTTTTGAACTTCCTATACAAACATGATGTATGCATGCTAGCATTATGTCAGTCGTTTACATTCACTCTGATCTGAGGTCAACACTTTTACTGCAACACTACCTGCGAACAACCCTGAGCCGATCCCTAGCTAAGTCCCTTAAGGATTGTAACAGCTACAATACCCCTATCTGCGGAGAAAACTGCTGCAACAGGAGCTAGACTTCGGGCTAGGCACGTGTACTCGTGTGATCTCTGCGTTCGTTCGTTCCTTAGTCGTTTACTTGTGCTTGCACTACTTGCTGGTTCACGGGGGAATTTGGCAAGAGTTCCACTAGCAGAAGTTCACAACAATGATTCCAACAGCATTGGCAATACTAACTACATCAGAGCTAGCTAGGCTGCTGGTCGACCTCCAGCGCAGCATGGTCGACCGCGTTCCAGCGCAGCAGCGCTCGCACCGCTCCAGCGTTGTAGAGTAGCAAGTCGCCAACGTTGCAAGTCCACGGTGTGCCAACGCTGCAGCGCTCGCACCGCTCCAGCGTTGTAGAGTAGCAAGTCGCCAACGTTGCAAGTCCACGGTGTGCCAACGCTGCAGCAAGTCGCCTGCACAGCGTTGCACCCGCAGGACAATGGTGCACCTGCTTCGCAGGTGCGCGCAGCTGGTTGGCGCTCCACACCTAGTCACGCGCACAGCACAGACGCCTAGCAGACTCCACGCCAGCGACTGCGCCCACCAGCCACATCGACCTTGGGATACCACCCCCGAGGTCGGCCTCACAGAATCCACCCCAGCGACACTCGCGCACGTTGCCCGGGTATCCCGGTCGACCGGGCAACCACGCCTGGCCGACCAGCGCAGTCCGAAGCCGGCCATGCATGCCCGACGTCCCCAGTCCGGTGTCCAGGCGCCCAGGACGCCGTCCGAACCCCCAGGTCGGCGTCCAGGCGCCCACGACGCCGTGCAGACCTCCAGAGCGGCGACCAGCCTCCCAGGACGCCGGCTAGACTTCCTGGTCGGCGTCCGGGCCCCCAGGACGCCCAGGTCGGCGTCCTGGCCCCCAGTACGCCGTGCAGGCGCCCACGACGTTGACCAGACGCCCAGGTCGGCGTCCACCTTCCCAGGACGCCGTCCAGGCGTCCGGGACGCCAACCAGGCGTCCAGGGCGGCGTCCACCTGCTCGCCGCCCCCCAGCTAGGCGCCCTCCAGCTCGGCGCCCCTGCAGTGGTCCGCGTGCCCACTGCTGCAGGTCGGCTGCAACCCCCACACATCCGACCACAAGGTTGGCTCCGCCCAAGCGAGGACGGGGCCCCACAACATTCCCGTTAACATTATCCTCGTTCAGATATTGGCTTAAATCCTGGTAATGTTTCTTACAAACGGGAAGAATTTAGTATTTGATAAATTCTATATTGCGATATGGATTGTATGAGCTGTACGCAATAGGAGCTAACACTATTGAGTACAAAGGTGAGGGGCCAGGTGAACCGAAGTGACGGAAGCGTTGTTAGGCAACGATCGATGCAGGTAGAAGCATTTGAACTGGAAATGGCGGGAACAAGTTTGAAATGGGTTCCTGCGCCGCACGGCTGGATTTTGCTGCAATAAGGGAATGTACTCCTTTGAGAACTTTTCACACTACTTTGTGTTTCTATATGAACCAATATATGCCTTTGCTATAATCACTTCTTCAGTCATTTACATTCACCCTGATATGAGGTCGCTTAATTCCGCTGCTATAACTCTCTGCGATCAACCTTGACGATCCCGGTCTTGGAAAGTAAACAACGGAATGATTGACTAGTATGTTGAACTAGGAAATTGTCAGTAGATCTGCACTGTGGATGCCCGATTGATCCTACGGGGGGTTACAGGCGCGTTTGCCTGGGGGGTTATGGGCGCACTCTTCCCCGCTACTTAACAAGCCCTTTTATCCCAGTGGTCTAGTGGTTGGGATTCTGAGATGGTATCAGAGCGAAGGTCTCGGGTTCGAATCCTGGTGTGTGCACTTCGGGCAACCCAGTGAGGGGGGGTGTCAGAGGTCCACTGGTGATCCCCGATTGATCCTAGGGAAGGGTTACAGGCACGGTTGCCTGGGGGGTTATGGGCGCACTGACCCGCTACTTAAATAAGCCCTTTTATCCCAATGGTCTAGTGACTGGGATTCTGACATGGTGTCAGAGTGGTCTCGGGTTCGAATCCCGGTGTATCCACATGTAGGCCGTTGCCGCTGTGCTCAGTCCTGGGCCTCCCAGTGTGGGGGGGTGTCAGTAGATCTGCACTGTGGATGCCCGATTGATCCTACGGGGGGTTACAGTCGCGTTTGCCTGGGGGGTTATGGGCGCACTGTGACCCGCTACTTAACAAGCCCTTTTATCCCAGTGGTCTAGTGGCTGGGATTCTGAGAGAAATGACTTAGGATCTTATGAAGTTTAGTCCTTGTGATATTTTGCAGCTGAAGACTACAAATTTTTGTCAAACTTATATGCTATAGTCTGTGTAGGCTGTAGTGGGATAGCTCATATGGGGTACAACTCTTTAGGGTGTCCTACTTGTACTCCTCATGCTGCTCAATGCAAGCATTCCTCGTTTTTTCACATGGTATAGAGCAGGTTCCCTAGTGGCAACGTTTCCTAGGGCCCACCACTAAAAAGTTTTCCTGCCCGGAGCGCGCTTCCCTCCTACCCGAGTTGCGCCCCGAGTGCCCTCCCTCCTGTTGCGCCCCTAGCCCTTAGTGGCCCGTCGCGCCCTCCTCAGGCCCCTCGCGGCCCCTTTCGCGGCCCCTCACAGCCCCTCTTACGGCCCCGTCGCCGCCCCTCTAGGCCCGTCGCGGCCTCTTCGCAGCCCCGTCGCCGCCCCTCTAGGCCCCTCGCGGCCCCTTCGCGGCCCCGACGCCGCCTCTCTAGGCCCCGTCGCTGCCCCTCCAGGCCTCTCGCGACCCCTTCGCGGCTCCGTCGCCGCCCCTTGCGGCCCCGTCGCCGCCCCTTGCGGCCCCGTCGCCGCCCCTTGCGGCCCCGTCGCCGCCCCTTCCGGCCCCGTCGCCGCCAGCCGCCTAGCAGCCGAGGCGCCCGACAGCCGAGCCGCCGAGCCGCCCAGCGACCCAGTCGCCGAGCCGCCGAGCCGCCAAGCCGCCGTGCCGCCCAGCAGTCGAGCCGCCCAGCGACCTAGCCGCCGAGCCGCCCAGCAACCGAGACGCCGAGCCGCCGAGCCGCCGAGCAGCCGAGCCGCCGAGCCGCCGAGCCGCCGTGCCGCCCAGCAGTCGACCCGCCGAGCCGCCCTGCCGTTGAGCTGCTACTGTTCCTACCGGCGCGTCCCGGCCCTACTCCCTTGGACTGCAGCCATGGCTACCCCCAGTGTCCTTACCTTTGATACTGAGGGTCGTACTGTTGACTTTGAGGTCTGGGTCGATGACCTCTAGCTGTTCTTACAGTGCGATAGGGCAGACGGACTCTCCCTGTTCGATCTCACCTCTGGTGTCTCTCTTGCCCCGCCTGCTACTGCTGACAGCACTGTTCGCTCACAGTGGGCCACGCGCGATGCTGCTGCACGTCTTGCTGTGCGTCGCCACGTACAGACCACTGAGCGTGCGCACTTTAGCCAGTACAAGAGTGCTAAGACCTTGTACGACGCTGTAGTTGCACGCTACTCTTCTGCCACTGCTGCGCTTAGCCGCCTCATGCTGCCGTACCTGTTCCCTGACCTTGCTGCCTTTCCCACAGTCGCAGAACTCATTACACACCTTCGCATTTGTGACACTCGCTACCGTGCTGCACTTCCTGCTGAGTTCTGTGCCAAGAGCCCCCCCCCATGTACATCACCCTCTACTACATAATCACCCGGCTCCCTCACTCCCTTCGCTTAGTCAGGGACCACTTCCTCTCAGTTTGCCCCACCACACTCCACGTTGACCTCCTCGAGGAGTGCCTCCTAGCAGCAGAGAAGAGCATAGTCACTGTAGGAGCCTCTCGTGGTGACCCTTACACCCCTGTCTTTGAGGGGTGTTCTCCCTCCCCCCTCTTGCCCTCTGTTGCTTCTGCTGCTGCAGCCGACCTCGTTGGCTTCGAGTCGGTCGGCGCTGCGTCTGCCCCTAGCAGGAAGCGCCGCACCGGCAAGGGCAAGGGGGGCAAGGGCGTTGGGGTGGCTAGTGGGGGTGGTGGAGGTGGTGGTGGAGGCGGTGGAGGGAGTGGGGGTGGTGGTGGGAGTGGTGGCGGGGGCGGAGGTGTCGGTGACAGCAGTGGAGGCGGAGGAGGCGGCGGTGGTGGCAGAGGGAGCGGAGGCGGCAGAGGTGGCGGAGGTGGCGGAGGTGGCTGAGGCAATGGTGGAGCTGGTCGCGGCTCTGCGCAGAGGAGTGGCTTCGGTGGTGGTCCGCGCGAGCAGCAGCAGCGCGGTCATGAGACCCTGTCCCCTCAGCAGCTTCGTGAGTGGTACGCTGGGCGTCGGCGGGGTGGGGGCACTGGTCCCTGCACCTACGTCCTCCGTACAAGCGACCGCGCTGGTGAGCAGTGCGGGCGCACGCACTCCACCTAGCGCTGCTTTGGCCGCCTGACGGACGCTTGGCGTCATCAGTTCCCTGACGCCACTGAGATCCCTCGCTGGGGAGAGCTGTCTAGGGCGGGGGTTGCTATCTTTGATCTTGACTATGATGCTATTCTTGCTGCCATGTATGCTGTGTCTACTAGTGATGAGGGTGATTGTTACCTGTGCGTTCCGCCTGACCCGGGCATTGAGGCTGCTGCTCTAGGTGCTGGTGAGGGTGCTGCTCCAGGTGCTAGTGCGTCTGCTACCCCAGGAGCTGGTGCGTCTGCTCTCTCAGGTACCACGTCGGCTCAGGCCTTACACACCTTCACACTTGACTCAGGTGCTTCCCGCTCCTTCTTTCGAGACCGCACCACACTTACGCCGCTTAGTCAGCCGGTTGCGGTCTCCCTGGCTGACCCCTCAGGCGGTCCTGTTCTTGCTAGCTTCTCCACTGTCTTACCGTGTCTGGCAGCCCCCTTTGGCACCCTGTCAGGTCTCTACCTCCCCTCGTTCTCTACGAACTTGGTGAGTGGAGCTGATCTACAGGATCAGTGGGTTGACCAGTTCACGCCTGCGAGTCAGCGGTTGACCCACTATACGTGTGCTAGGACGGGCCGACACTTGGCCACGTTTACTCGTTAGCCGGGGTCGAGCCTGTTGCTGAGTTTGGTCAAGTAGCTGTGTCGAGTCAGGTGTTTGCTACAGCGTCCAGGTCTGGTCCTGAGTCTGCGCCTTGGTCGTGTCGTCTCTTGTCCCACCAGACTCTCCTTTGGCACCACCGCCTTGGTCACCCCTCCCTACCTCGTCTCCGAGGCATGGCCTCACGTGTCCTTGCCTCTGGTCTCGGCCGGTCCCTCCCTCCCCTACCTCCGGGGCCTGCCCCTACCTGCGTCCCCTGCGTCGAGGGGCGGCAGCGCGCCGCCCCTCACTCCTCCGAGTTTCCTCCGACAGAGGCTCCCTTGCAGACTCTTCACATGGACGTGTGGGCCCTCGCCCGCGTCCATGGCCAGGGTCACAAGCGTTAATTCCTGTTGGTGGTTGACGACTACTCTCATACTGGTCCTGCTCCTCCCTTAGCGTGTCCACAGCCTGTCCAGTCGCGGTCACAGTTACAGCCTACCTACCCCCTGCCTGCTCCTTCTCCCTACACTGGTCCTACTGGAGGTCTTGCTGAGCGTCATGAGCCTGCGTCTCGTCCTGCGTCGCCTGTTCGTGCTGCTCGCACTAGTGGTCGTGCTCCGCGTCCGCGTCCTCCTGCGGTCCCTGGCACACACCAGATGGCATTGCGTCCTTCCACTGCGTGTCCCGTTGCCGTCTCCTCTAGAGTCCTCTCTTCCTACTCTTGCTGACCTTGAGTGTGACTCTCTTCGTGCTGCTAGTCCTACTGTCACGCGTCTCCTGGCTACTGTTGTCACTAGCCCTTCTTTTGAGTCCACTTCTGCGTCTTCCTTAGTTGCTGAGCTTATCGACTTTGCTGCTCGCTGTCGTCTAAACTACGGTACTAGCCTTGTTGGTGAGTCTGAGTCTGTCTGTCCTCCGTCCATCGGGGGTGAGTGTGCTTTTAGCTCAGACGTCCTTGAGGAGATGCAGAAGGAGCTCCAGTTTTTTTCTACTGCTTTGCCTTACTCGTGTCCACGCTGATTGCCCCTGAGGGAGACCCGGATGCTCCAGACATCCTGACTCCTCGATCGTACGCTGAGGCGATCAAGGGTCCCTACTCCTCACAGTGGCAGTCAGCCATGGACGCAGAGATGGCTTCCTGGAAGTCCATAGGCACCTACGTCGACGAGGTTCCCCCACCTGGGGTGAACATCGTCAGTGGCATGTGGATTTTAAGGGTGAAGCGGCCGCCGGGTTCTCCGCCTGTCTTCAGTCAGCGGCAGGGAGTTGACTACTTTCAGACCTTCTCCCCCACCGCGAGGATGACCACTCTTCGGGTGCTGCTGCACATAGCTGCTCAACGCGACTACGAGCTTCACTCTCTTGACTTAAGCACAACTTTCTTGCAGGGCAGCCTGCACGAGGAGATATGGCTGCGCCGCCCACCTGGCTTCACTGGGTCGTTTCCTCCTAGTACCCAGTGGAGCCTCCGGCGGCCAATCTACGGTCTCCGCCAGGCGCCTCGTGAGTGGTACGACACACTGAGGACTACGCTTGCGGCTCTTGGGTTTGCTCCTTCTACTGCCGACCGGTCGATGTTTCTGCGCTCCGACACCTCTTTGCCGCCGTTCTACATCCTCGTGTGCATCGACGACTTGGTCTTTGCCACTGCTGTCACTACTGGACTCCACTACGTGAAGTCCGAGCTGCAGAAGAGACACACGTGCACAGACCTGGGTGAACTGCGCAGTTACCTTGGCTTGCAGATCACCCAGTGAGTCCGTAGAGCCGAGTGGCACGTACCGAGAGCTTGTTGGCTGCCTCATGTACCTGATGACCTGCACACCACCTGGCCTTGCATACCCTCTTAGCATCTTGGCACGCTATGTTGCTCCTGGGAGACACCGACCAGAGAACATGGTTGCAGCGAAGAGGGTGTTGCGCTACTTGTGCAGTACGTCGGGCATGGGGCTAGTGCTTGGAGGGCGACGTCCAGTGGTCCTCACAGGTCACGCAGACGCTTCTTGGGCTGACGACCAGGCTACGCAGCGGTCGTCACAGCGTTACACCTTCAGCCTCTATACCGCTCGTCTTCTGTTCTCAGCTCCAGCTGTGAGGCTGAGATCTAAGCAGGGGCCATGGCTGCACAGGAGCTACGCTGGCTCACCTACCTGCTAACTAACCTAGGAGAGCCGCTTCGTTCTCCTCTTGTTCTGTACGTAGACAACAAGGCCATGCTGGCCTTGTGTCGGGAGCATAGATTGGAGCACAGGACGAAGCACATTGATCTTCTCTACTTCCTTGCTCGTGAGCTGCAGCAGTGCGGTCAGCTGCGCCTTGCTTAAGTGGCCTCTGAGGCCAACACTGCTGATATCTTTACCAAGGCACTTGCGCCTTGTGATCATCAGCGCTTTTGTACTATGCTAGGTCTTGTGCCTACTTAGCCTCAGTTGCTCACTTCTTGACTTTGCTTGTACTGTGATCTATATATACCTGCACTTGCATGCTTACCCTTGCTAGGTTGAGATCACTGCCTTGTTTGTTCATCTTGATCTATAACTCTGCATGTGAACTTGCCTTGTGGCCTTGTGCTTGTGCTCAGATTGTGTGGTGACGTTGTGATCCACCCTGAGCTTGCCTTGCTTCTCTTGACTGGTCTTGTGACCTCTTGTTCTCCCCGACTTTGCCTATGGGGGTGTGTCAAACTTATATGCTATAGTCTATGTAGGCTGTAGTGGGGTAGCTCATATGGGGTACAACACTTCAGGGTTTCCTACTTGTACTCCTCATGCTGCTCAATGCAACCATTCCTCGTTCTTTCACATTTTTTGTGCTGGTCAAGTGTGAAAACAAAATTGATAATAAAGAAGTAATACAAGAGATTTCTAGCCTGGAAAAGTACCTATTCAGTGATGTACCTGTTCATGAATTGGGCTAAATATTGAGTCGACTCTATGAAGCCGTATAATCCTGTGTCATGCGAACAGTCTGGAGGATGTTCGCACTATTACCTGAAACTCACGCAAAGGGACACTTGCTACAGTAACATGCACAAATATAGTAATACTACGATGTACTATCAAACTATTGAATTGCATAAGTCAAATTTCTTCGTCCAACACTCCCCTTCAATTTTGGAGTTCGATGTTGTTGGTGTTGATGAGGTTGAGTCGCGTCAACATCATGCAGTACTTAAATTTTGGACGCAGCAGACGCTTGGTCAAGGATTCCGCGACCATTTTGCTCATGGGATAGTAATCAAGCTGTAACTTGCCTTGCTCGATTTCGTCCTTGACGATTGGATCGATTGCCAAACCCAGATTTGTTCGCAATACGGACTGGGGACTGGTTGTCGCAGAAGAGCTGAAACAGTGACAGGTCCTGTAGCTTTGCTTGGCTAAGCAACTGGCAAAGGTAAAGACCTTTCTTCGTGGCGGTGCAGGAAGCAATTAACTATTCTTTAGCCGATTAGAGTGCAATTAGCTCTTGCTTGCACGACTGCCATGAAATTGTACCAACGGGCTCAAAACTGAAAATATAGCCCGTACGTGAGCGTTTATTTGTAGTGTGATCCACGTGTCAGAATGTTATAATTGTCTAGCCTGCAGTGGGGTACTCTATAGGGAGTACAACCCAATTATGGTTTCCTATATGTATGCCAACTGCTGCTAGTGCAACCCCCTCTCTTCTTCATTCCTCATTACTTCACATGCTATCAGAGCATCTACGCTCCTGGCCTGTGGGCCCACCTAACTGCTTCCGCTGCTACTCTGTGTGTTGCACGCCCCGTGGCGTGCGACGGAATTTTTTCTTCCACTCCTAAAGGCCCCTCTCACGGCCCCTCGCGCGACCCTTAGCGGCCCCGTCGCCACTCCTTGCGGCCCCGTCGCCGCCCTTCTTGGCCCCTCGCGGCCCCTTCGCGGCCCCGTCACCGCCCCTAACGGCCCCGTCGCCGACCTTTCAGGCCCCTCGCGGCCCCTTATCGGCCCGTCGCCGCCCTTCCAGGCCCCTCGCGGCCCCTTCACGGCCCCGTCGCCGCCCCTAGCGGCCTCGTCGCCGCCTCCAGCGGCCCCGTCGCCGCCCCTTGCGGCCTCATCGCCGCCCCTAGCGGCCCGTCGCTGCCCTTCCAAGCCCCTCGTGGCCCCTTCGCGGCCCCGTCGCCGCCCCTATCGGCCCCGTTGCCGCCTCCAGCGGCCCCGTCGCCGCCCCTTGCGGCCCCGTCGCCGCCCCTTTCGGCCCTGCCTTGACCTTGCCCCGGCCATGCTCCGTCGCCTGTCGCGGCGCACCGGGGGCACGTGCACCGCCCCCCCCTCTTTTCCCGTCACATGTCGAGGCGACCTGAGGGGGCCGCGGGGGGGGGGGGGGGGGGGGGGGGGGGGGGCGAGCGTCGCCCCTTCTGCCGCCTACTTTGGCGCCCTGGGAGGCCGC